CTATTTTTCTAGTATCCATATTGATTATTTTTAGTTACTGCAAATGACATTTTTTAATGTTTTATTTATACTTTTCATTAATCATTTTTTTAAAGAAACGTTTAAATTATTCATTAACATTATTTCATCAATTTGTTTTAGAAAGTTAAGAAGTAATAAATCCTAACATGGGAGCCTAAATCCTCACAAATACACGTATTTATTGAAAACAATACATAAATCCTAAAAACTAAACTCGATTATTAAAACCTAAATCCAAATACAAACACGTAAAATATGATTATCATTATTTTGGTAACCTTATGCCATCAATTATTTTGATTATGGATGCAAAACCGAGCAATAGTATCTAAACCTTAATAGTGCTCATTTGATGTTTTACAACAAAAAATATATATGCATAGGCAAGAGTTAAATGATTCGATTCATAGATTCGTCATGGGGCACATGGCATTTTCTTTTGCAGCAATAAGATCTGCTCTACATTGTCATTTCTTATAATAATTTGATCGATGAGGTTCTACTTTATTTTTTTCGCTTGTTTCTACATAAAATATTTGAGAGCTATCATCTAACTGTTTGAATTTAAACAAAACCGATCATATTTGCGTATTAAGTTTTTTTTGTAACAAAATTATAATTGTTTGTCTCTTTTTTAGGAGGAGAGCATATTTTTTTATTCTTTAGCCCTAATTGTTTGGGCTGGATATCGGATTTTCCGTACGAAATTTTAGATGTCTTACATAAAACTTTGGAGTGTCATATGTGAATAGTCCTAGAGCTCCAGATAGAAGTTTTGTCTTCTTGGAGGATGAGAGATGTGTCTGACTAAATAACCCTCTCTAGTGAATCAACCACAATGATCATTTGGATATGTATCGCACCCATGCATAGTTAATAATCACGAAGAAGATTTTTGGTAGATCCTTACGAAAACTCTCTAACGCCTAAGTTAGTCTACCACTGGAGAGTAAATCATTTCGAAAAGTTAGTGTAGATTATGTTTGGTTCCACGCATGAAGATCATGATGTCTCTCCAATAACCTGAAATGGATGGGAAGAGAAGAGGGAGTTTCTTGGGAGAGTGGGGTTGGAACTCCCTTCCTAAGTATTGTTTTGCGTGAGGACTACTTCTGAGGGAGTATCTCGTTATTGTTTTCTTTTATTAAGTATTATCTCCTTATTCTTGTGTCCGTTTTCTCTTCCATCTATCTCTCTGCCGAAGATCCTCTTCCTCTTTAGCTCACCCCCTCAAGCAATATGTTCTATTTTGCAAATTCTTCCTCTCTGGCTTAAGAATCTTCTCAAGAATTGTCGTTGCTTCCACATTGAAACTCCTTTATTAGCATAACATCGAGTTAATGTTCCACCTCACCCTTTGTTTCCATATTGTCCACCACTTGACACGACGAGCCCATGTGTTCAGCTCCTGGCTCGATTGACTTTTAACCATAGTCATCAAGCTTGCCACCATAGTTTCCACCGACTGATCTAGCTCCTCCCTCATTCCTTCCACCGTTTTGTCACCGCAATCTTCGCCAATGGCTGAGTTTCGTGCATCTTTGACGGATCTTTTAGCTCTCTGTCTCCCTACGTACTCTCATCCCCGAAGCAGAGCTCGAGACCTCATAATCCAGTGCTTCCTCCGCATTGATTACCTGTTTCTCACCAACCAGCTTCACAACCTGTTGTTGAACTGGATCAACCTTAGCATCAGATGTTGCAATCTGTTGCTCCACCACAGCCGTATTTCCCATTCCATGTTCACTGCTTGTAGCCACTTGTTTCTAGCCTATGGTAGGTTGTTGTTCATTTTGTCGACAAAATCGTGGTCCATCTACTTATACGTACCTTAGTCTTTAACTCGTCATTTGTTGTATT